CAAAAGAGGGCATTATGTATAGGGATAACTATGATCCTTACTGAATCACACATACAGTCAGGTCCATGAATATTGGGACATGGACACAATTCTAACATTTTTGGCTCTATACACCACCACAATGGATTTGAAATGAAATGAACAAGACGTGCTTTAACTGCAGACTGTCAGCTTTAATTTGAGGGTATTTACATCCAAATCAGGTGAACGGTGTAGGAATTACAACAGTTTGCATATGTGCCTCCCACTTGTTAAGGGACCAAAAGTAATGGGACAGAATACTAATCATAAATCAAACTTTCACTTTTTAATACTTGGTTACAAATCCTTTGCAGTCAATTACAGCCTGAAGTCTGGAACGCATAGACATCAGCAGACGCTGGGTTTCATCCCTGGTAATGCTCTGCCAGGCCTCTACTGCAACTGTCTTCAGTTCCTGCTTGTTCTTGGGGCATTTTCCCTTCAGTTTTGTCTTCAGCAAGTGAAATGCATGCTCAATCGGATTCAGGTCAGGTGATTGACTTGGCCATTGCAGAACATTCCACTTCTTTGGTTGCTTTTGCAGTCTGCTTTGGGTCATTGTCCATCTGCACTGTGAAGCGGCGTCCAATGAGTTGTGAAGCATTTGGCTGAATATGAGCAGATAATATTCCCAAAACACTTCACAATTCATCCTGCTGCTTTTGTCAGCAGTCACATCGTCAATAAATACAAGAGAAGCAGTTCCATTGGCAGCCATACATGCCCACGCCATGACACTACCACCACCATGCTTCACTGATGAGGTGGTATGCTTAGGATCATGAGCAGTTCCTTTCCTTCTCCATACTCTTCTCTTCCCATCACTCTGGTACAAGTTGATCTTGGTCTCATCTGTCCATAGGATGTTGTTCCAGAACTGTGAAGGCTTTTTTAGATGTCGTTTGGCAAACTCTAACCTGGCCTTCCTGTTTTTGAGGCTCACCAATGGTTTCCATCTTGTGGTGAACCCTCTGTATTTACTCTGGTGAAGTCTTCTCTTGATTGTTGACTTTGACACACATACACCTACCTCCTGGAGAGTGTTCTTGATCTGGCCAACTGTTGTGAAGGGTGTTTTCTTCACCAGGGAAAGAATTCTTCAGTCATCCATCACAGTTGTTTTCCATGGTCTTCCGGGTCTTTTGGTGTTGCTGAGCTCACCGGTGCGTTCCTTCTTTTTAAGAATGTTCCAAACAGTTGTTTTGGCCAAGCCTAATGTTTTTGCTATCTCTCTGATGGGTTTGTTTTGTTTTTTTCAGCCTAATGATGGCTTGCTTCACTGATAGTGACAGCTCTTTGGATCTCATCTTGAGAGTTGACAGCAACAGATTCCAAATGCAAATAGCACACTTGAAATGAACTCTGGACCTTTTATCTGCTCATTGTAATTGGGATAATGAGGGAATAACACACACCTGGCCATGGAACAGCTGAGAAGCCAATTGTCCCATTACTTTTGATCCCTTAACAAGTGGGAGGCACATCTGTAAACTGTTGTAATTCCTACACCGTTCACCTGATTTGGATGTAAATACCCTCAAATTAAAGCTGACAGTCTGCAGTTAAAGCACACCTTGTTCATTTCATTTCACATCCATTGTGGTGGTGTATAGAGCCAAAAATGTTAGAATTGTGTCCATGTCTCAATATTTATGGACCTGACTGTATATAGAATATTATAAGATGGCTATGTATACTCCATTTTGTTTTATCAGATATTCTTCTATCCATAACGTCATATATTTCAAGTTGTTTATTGCAAATGACAAACACATATCTAGATTGTAACTGTGCCAGTAGGCATGTGTGACATTTTAGGTGGGGTGTCTGCCTTGGTCCTTTAATGTGATCTGTTGCTATTGATAAGAAGGGCTGTATAACCCCTGGAAAAAAGTATAGAATTATCACTCTTCATTCAATTGTTTGACTGTGTAGAAAAAAAAAAAAAACAATCACAGACAGGCCTCAAAACTATTTTCATTTATCTTAGCAACCTTCTGGCTGTAATAAACACTTTAAATAAAAAAGAGAGAAAACTGTAGTCAATTGCAATTGTTTTTGCAGATCAAGCAGAGGAAACAAATATGGAATCACTAAATTCTGAGGAAAATATTATGGAATCACCATGAACTTTGCAGTTCTAAAACAAACATCTGCATCAGAATACATCTGCTAATTAGTCTGCAGTTCAAAAAGAGTGTTTGCACACCTTGGTGAGCTATTGCAACAAGCTGATTGACTTGAATCATGGCTCCAACACTATAGATGTCAGTTGAAACAAAGGAGAGGATTATAAAACTTCTTCAATAAGGTACCGTATTTTTTCGCTCCATAAGACGCACCTGACAATAAGACGTGCCTAGGTTTTAGAGGAGAAAAACAATAAAAAAAATATTCTGAAACAATGGACTGCAGACACAGTACAGGGGATGACCAGAGACTGCGGACACAGTACAGGAGATGATCAGAGACTGCGGACACAGTACAGGAGATGACCAGAGACTGCGGACACAGTACAGGAGATGGCAAGATACTGCAGACAGTACAGGGGATGACCAGAGACTGCAGACACAGTACAGGGGATGACCAGAGACTGCAGACACAGTACAGGAGATGGCCAGAGACTGCAGACACAGTACAGGGGATGACCAGAGACTGCGGACACAGTACAGGGGATGACCAGAGACTGCGGACACAGTACAGGGGATGACCAGAGACTGCGGACCTTTGGGGAGGGAGGGGGAGCGGGTACCTGAAGTTGACAGGTACCCGCTCCCACTTCTGCGGAGCTGTAGTTCCTGATAGAACAGTACAGGGGATGACCAGTACAGGGGATGACCAGAGACTGCAGACACAGTACAGGGGATGACCAGAGACTGCAGACACAGTACAGGAGATGGCCAGAGACTGCAGACACAGTACAGGGGATGACCAGTACAGGGGATGACCAGAGACTGCGGACACAGTACAGGAGATGACCAGAGACTGCAGACACAGTACAGGGGATGACCAGAGACTGCGGACACAGTACAGGGGATGACCAGAGACTGCGGACACAGTACAGGGGATGACCAGAGACTGCGGACCTTTGGGGAGGGAGGGGGAGCGGGTACCTGAAGTTGACAGGTACCCGCTCCCACTTCTGCGGAGCTGTAGTTCCTTCTTCGCGCGGCAGCTACTGTGACAGCCGGGTGCCCACTGCGCATGAGCGAGAAGCGCTGCGCTTTGTGAAAGGCCCGGAGCCTTCTGGGACCTGTCGTGTGTCCCAGAAGACACCGGACCATTCACAAAGCGCAGCGCTTCTTGCGCATGCGCAGTGGGCACCCGGCTGTCACAGAAGCCGCCGCGGGAAGACTGCAGCGCTGGAGCGAGGAACAGGTAAGGCCCCGCAGGAGAGAAGAGCTGAGCGGCCGCCCCGATATTCTGATATGGTGGCTGCAGAAATACCGGACCGGCCGCTTTACATTCACTCCATAAGACACACTGACATTTTCCCCCCTGTTTTGGGGGGAAAAAGTGCGTCTTATGGAGCGAAAAATACGGTAATCATTATGGAATGTTGCAAAAGATGTTGGTTGTTTCCAGTCAGCTGTGTCTAAAATCTGGACCAAAAACAAATCAAATGGGAAGGCTGTAAAATGGAAGCGTACTGGTATACCAAGGAAGACAACAAACCGTCAAAATAGAAAACTTAAAGAAAACTTAAAGCAATATGCCTTTAAAACAGAAAATGCACAACAAATCAAATGAGGAACAAATGGGCAGAAACTGGAGTTAATGTCTGTGACCGAACTGTAAGACATCGCCTGAAGGAAATAGGATTTACATACAGAAAAGCCAAACGAAAACCATCATTAACATCTAAACAGAAAAAAACAAGGTTACAGTGGGCTAAAGAAAAGCAATCATGGACTGTGGATGACTGGATGAAAGTTATATTCATTGATGAATCGCAAATCTGTATTGGGCAGGGGGGTGATGCTGGGATTCTTGTTTAGTGCTGTTCCAATGAAACGTATAAAGACGACTGCCTGAAGAAAACATGCAAATTTCCACAATCATTGATGATATGGGGTTGCATGTCAGGTAAAGGTACGGGGGAGATGAAAGTCATTAAATCTTCAATAAATGCACAAGTTTATATTGATATTTTGGACACTTTTCTTATTCCATCAATTGAAAGGATGTTTGGTGATGATGACATCATTTTTCAGAATGATAATGCATCTTGCCATAGGGCAAAAACTGTGTAAACTTTCCCTCAAAAAAGACATATAATTTCAATAGCATGACCTACAAATAGTCCAGACCTCAATCCAATTGAAAATCTATGGTGGCAATTAAAGAAAATGGTCCATGACAAGGCTTCAACCTCCAAAGCTGATCTGGCAGCTGCAATAAGAGAAAGTTGATGATGAATACTGTTTGTCGATAGTTAAATCCATGCCTGAGAGAATTCAAGCTGTTATAAAAGCCAGAAGTGGTGCAACAAAGTACTATTGGTGTACTGTAGTGTAGTGTTTGTTTTCATGGTTCCATAATATTTTCCTTAGAATTGAGTGATTTCATATTTTTTTTCCTCTGCTTGATCTGCAAAAACATTTGCAACTGGCTACAGTTTTTTCTGTTTTTTTTTATTTTTTAAGTGTTTCTTAAAGCCAAAAGGTTGGAATGTTAAATGAACATAGTTTCGAGGCATGCTTGTTATTATTTTTTTTTTTTCTTAACAATTAACTTGTTGCCGACCGCAGATAGCCGAATGACGGCTGCACTGCGGCCGGCCAGTTCTGAGTGGACGTCATATGACGTCCCCCCAGAACGCGCTCTCCTACGCGCCCCAGGGGGCACGCACCCGGCGATCTCCGTGATCGCTGTGTCCTACGGACACAGCTGATCACGTGATGTGGTAAAAGGCCAATCACAGCGGCCTTTTACCACCTGATCAGCGGTGTCCAATGACACGCTGATCAGAGGGAAATGCAAGTGCCGGTTCTCGGCTGCACTTTCCTCACGCTGTCAGATCGTGAGGAAAGTACTGCCGAGAACCGGCAGTTGTCAGAGCGGGGATCGGCACCGATCATCAGGGCACTGATGATCAGTGCCCTGATGATCGGTGCCCAGCAGTGCCACCCGCAAGTTCCGCCCACCTGTGCCCTGCAGTGCGCCCACTAGCTATGCCCACCTGTGCCCAGCAGTGCACCCACCTGTGCCCAGCAGTGCACCCACCTGTGCCACTCTGCAATTTCACACACCTGTGCCCAGAAGTGCCACCTACCTGTGCCCAGCAGTGCCACCCACCTGTGCCCACCAGTGCCACCCACCTGTGCCCACCCACCAGTGCCACCCACCAGTGCAGCCCAGCAGTGCTGCCAGTCAGTGCCACCAGTCAGTGCCCAGCGGTTGTGCCAGTCAGTGCCGCCAGTCAGTGCCCAGCAGTGATGCCAGTCAGTGCCGTCTATCAGTACCCATCATTAGTGTCACCTATCAGTGCCGCCTATCAGTGCTGCATATTAGTGCCGCCTATCCGTGACACCTCATTAGTGCTGTCTATCAGTGCCGGCTATCCGTGCCACCTCATTAGTACTGCCTATCAGTGCCCTTTAGTGCTGCCTATCAGTGCCCATCAGTGCCGCCTATCAGTGCCCATCAGTGCTGCCTCATCAACGCACATCAGTGAAGGAGAAAAAAATTACCTGTTTGAAAAATTTTATAATAGAAACAAAGAAACTTTTTTTTTTTTTCTTCAAATTTTTGGCAATTTTTTATTTATATAGCGCAAAAAGTAAAGCGCCCAGTGGCGATTAAATACCACCAAAATAAAGCTCTATTTGTGAGAAAAAAATGATCAAAATTTCATATGGGTACAATGTTGCATGACCGCGCAATTGTCAATCAAAGTGCGGCAGCGCTGAAAGCTGAAAATTGGCCTGGTAAATAAGGGGGTATAAGTGCCTGGTAGGCAAGTGGGTTAAACAATTGAACATTTTCCAAGAGCAGTGATTCCATACTTTTTGCCAGGGGTTGTATAAGCAGAGAAGGACTCTATAGAAAGTGGAATACAGTGAGGGCGGACATTGTGTTTCCCATACACATATATGCAACAATAAATATAATTCGGAGCCTTAGCTAGTCTGCAGGTAATTATTCAAGTTTCCTCAGAAATAGAGGAACTTGAGCATGAGGTACAATCCTCCCTATACAATATGTTGATTCTTTTGCTATTTTTCACCTTCCTTTTAATAGACCAAGCTGTGCAGCAAAAGTGGAAGATAGAGGGTTAGGAAAAACTAATTAACATTAATAGGGGTGCTTAAAATGGTCAGCTATCATTTATTTAGTTAAAACCTACACCACTTCCCCTGGAGGAGAAATGAGCCAAAGGTCTGTCTACTTCTACAATTAACACAGCAGCATATTCATGTAATATACAGCAAGGTACAATATCATAGAGTGAAGTACCAGAAGGAGGAAGGAAGGGGAAGGAGAGAAGGGAGGGGGGGATGACAAAAAAGAAGAAAAAGGGGGGAGAAAAAAAGGGGTGATAGAAGGGGGTTGGAGGGTTTGAAAAGAATGGAAAAGGGGGAAGGAAGGGGGGGGAGGAAGGAACAGAGACTGGTGGGTCAAAAAACTGACCTTCAACAATTGTGTTGCATTCCTCCATGCACCAGGATGGGTGCTCTTTTGGTCGGCCTGGTGTGATGCCCTTTTCATTGCTTCCCCTGTGTCGGGCATGTGCTCTCAAGGAGGTGGGTGGGACTTGGGCAGGTCCTCTTTCCTTGTCCATTCCTCCCTCTTTGCTTCACCGTCGCCATTTTTTGGATACTCCATGCCAGTCTGCGTTAAGGCAATGCATGCACTCGGTGGCTTCCGTGCCCACGCACGGAAGCCCCCGAGTGCATGCATTGCCTTAACGCAGGCTGGCATGGAGTATCCAAAAAATGGCGACAGTGAAGCAAAGAGGGAGGAATGAACAAGGAAAGAGGACCTGCCCAAGTCCCACTCGGGAGGGCTAACTCGGTGACATTAGATGCCAAACTGTGTCTGTGTGGATGTGTGCGTTGGGTTGGGGGTATTAAGGTTGGCACCCACATTGACTGTACTGGATCAGGAGCAAATTTTTTCGTTTACAGGGCTCTACAGGTGAGCATACTTGGCTTACTTGGCTTACGGATAATGACAGTGTACTAAAGGAACCTAGGCTAACCTTTCCCTGCTTAATAGTACATGAATATGCTGTTGTCTTTCATTGTAGACAGTTCTTTGGCTCGTTTCTCCTCCTGAGGAAGTGGTGTAGGCTGGGAAACATGTAATGTACTCCCATATTGTATCATCTGGAATCAGTTTAATTAAGGACCCTGACCTATCTGGAGAACTATGTGCAACCTGCTATGAGCTATAATTTGCTGAAATGTCAACTATTCTAATATTTTTTCTTTATGTCTAATATTTTTAAGACATGTAAGATACATTATCTGTATTAGCCCTGGTTCACACTAGCATGACATGAAGGTTGCCGTGACTTCTAAGCGATTTTGCTGTACTACTTCACAGCAAAATGTTTCTAAATATAATCTAAGGTGGATATAGCCCTGGAAAAATGGAGGGGCCCCACAAAAGCAATCAAGACATTCTAAAAAGCTCAGTGCATGGACTTTTAATTTGCCCCAAAGAGTAACACACAAAAAAACATTTGTTGTTATAATAGCAGGGAGAATTACTCCCAAATTATACTTATTTATTAGAAAAAGTCAAAAACCTCAAATTTAATGTATCCAAGATAAAATTTCTTAGCAGCAAATATCACCACATCATGTTGTTTATTACAGATTCACAGTATTGTAGGAGCGTGAACATACAGTTGCAAGAAAAAGTATGTGAAACCCTTGGGATTACGTGGAGTTTTGCATGAATTGGGCATAAAATGTGCTCTGAACATCATCTAAGTCACAACAATAGAAGAACACAGTCTGCTGAACATAATACTACACAAACATTAGATGTTGCCATGGTTTAATTGCACATAACATGTAAACATTCACAGTGCAGGGAGGAAAAAGTATGTGAACCTTTGGACTTAATAACTGGTTGACCCTCCTTTGGCAGCAATAACCTCAACCAAACGTTTCCTGTAGTTGCAGATCAGACCTGCACAACGATCTGGAGTAATTTTGGACCACTCCTCTTTACAAAACTGTTTCAGTGTAGCAATATTCTTGGGATGTCTGGTGTGAATCGCTTTCTTAAGGTCATGCCACAGCATTTCAATCGGGTTGAGGTCAGGACTCTGACTGGGCCACTCCAGAAGGCGTATTCTGTGCTGTTGCAGCCATTGTTTTGTTGAATTACTTGTATGCTTTGGGTCATTGTCCTGTTGCAACACCCATCCTCTGCGGAGCTTCAGTTGGCAGACAGATGGTCACACGTTTTCCAGCAAAATGTCTTGATAAACTCTGGAATTCATTTTCCCATCAATGACAACAATCCATCCAGGCCCTGAGGCAGCAAAGCAGCCCCAAACCATGATGCTTCCTCCGCCATGTTTTACAGTGGGGATGAGGATTTGATGTTGGTGTGCTGTGCCTTTTTTTTCTCCACACATAGTGTGTGTTCTTCCCAAACAACTCAATCTTGGTTTCATCTGTCCACAATATATTTTGCCAGTAGTGCTGTGGAACATCCAGGTGCTCTTTTGCAAACTTCAAACGTGCTGCAATATTCTTTTTGGACAGCAATGGCTTCCTCCGTGGTGTCCTCCCATGTACTCCATTCTTGTTTAATGTTTTCCTTATTGTAGATGTGTCAACAAAAAATGTTAGCATGTGCCAGAGATTTCTGTAGGTCTTTAGCTGACACTCTGGGATTCTTCTTTACCTCAAGCAGCATTCTGCGCTGTGCTCTTGCAGTCATTTTTACAGGACGACCACGCCTACGGAGAGTAGCAACAGTGCTAAACTTTCTCCATTTGTAGACAGTCTGTCTTACCGTGGACACATGAACATCAGGGCTTTTGGAGATACTTTTGTAACCCTTTCCAGCTTCATGCAAGTCAACAATTCTTGATCGTAGGTCTTCTGAGAGCTCTTTTCTGCGAAGCATGGTTCACATCAGACAGTGCTTCTTGAAACCAGTAAACCCAAAACAGGTATGTGTTTTTTAAGGGCAGGACAGCTGTCAGCAATTCATCCAATATCATCACACTGGAGTCAAGGTTGGCTCACCCCTGGCTCCAATTAGCTCTGGGAGAAGTCATTAAGCTAGAGCCTCACATACTTTTTCCTCCCTGCACTGTTAATATTTACATTTTATGTGCAATTAAACCATGGCAACAGCTAACGTTTGTGTAGTATTATGTTCAGCAGACTGTGTTCTTCTATTGTTGTGACTTAGATGACGTTCAGAGCACACATTTTATGCCCAATTCATGCAAAACTCCACGTAATCCCAAGGGGTTCACATACTTTTTCTTGCAACTGTAAAGTTAATTTTAGAATTGGCTGTAATTCTTCAATATGTTTCGCAGGGAACTATGCCTGTTTCGTCAGGATAGTAGCTCCTACTGGAAAGGAAACAAATATAAAGAAAGCAAACATCAATATACAGGACCAATATAAAATATAAATGAACAAAGTTACAATATGTGGTAGAACCTGATACATACATACAAAACTGTATGAAAATCAATATGGCTCCAAAATGCTCACATGTGGTAAACATGGAGTTAGGCAGAATGGAAAAGCCCCAAAAAGGTAATCCAGAACTTCAAGGTGCAGGTGTCTCCCACATGCGGATGCAGGGGAAGCATACGAGGACCTCCACTAAACCCATACAAAGCCTACAAAATAATCCCAAATAGAACTCAAAGATGACACCAGACTACCATAATGTCTTTCAAACAAAAAATGTACACAGATTTTTGTACACTAGTATTGTATCACTTAAATATAGTACACAATATGTCTCCACAAATACAGAGAGGGAAAGAGAATGAAAAGAAGCAGTTAGGCTGTCAGGTGCTCATCCACAAAAGGGGGAGTTTTTTGTTTCTACTCCCAGATCCTCAGAGGAAGATGACCACTACTGGATCTTTGTCAGATTAAAGTAGGTAGGCCGCATCTCCATATCTAGAAATAATAACTATAAGTTTAAACCTTTTTGTTGGGCAAAAAAAGGAAACCCCAAAAGAGATCATTCAAAATAGGTGAATCTTACCACTGCCTATGAGTAAAAACAGGACGATGGCTTCTCTCAGTGATGTGTGGGCTGACATCCTGAATGGGAAGGGAATCCCTCATATTTGCTCGCTCAGAGTGCAGTCACCACTGAACCATTTCTGGTGTGTAACGTCAATACTGA